AGCAGATTCATCAAGAAAAACCATGATTCCTTAATAAAGGGAAAGCCTCCATTTGCAAAGAACTGTTCACTCATGAGAAAAGGAAAAGGTGCGTCGATTTCATTCGGTGCTATCCCCGTGGATGGATAAACAGGAACTCTTGTCTTAATTTCAGACGTGTCCTGCAATGGAATGAGCTCATGCTTCAGATTTTCACAATACCAAGTACCCCAGATCAATAGAAACTAGCCATAAAATTTGGTTATGTAATCTTGTCAAGAATAAAACAAAGACATGCTGTAGGGAATTTTCCTGCATTAATGGCTGAATATCCAAGGGCATTTCTGACATTCAGGGTGTCCATGGAGAAAGCAGTGGGGACAGGCAACGCCCGTGGGTCTTGACATAATCACACAACCTCATAAATGATGTAATTCATGGCATTTACGTATGACATGACAACACACATGATGTTATTGTGGCATCTAGAGAAAACATATGCTCATCCTGGACTGCAAAGGGAAGGTTTTGTAAAAAGCAGTGCAACTATAAAAATAAAGCTTGGTTAAGCCTACTAGTCAAGTCAAGTTTTTCCCAACTTTAGTTTGAAATATATATTCTAAATGTATGATTTAGTATGAGAGCCAGTTTGATGTAATGGTTAAGGCATCAGGCTAGAAACCAGGAGACTCTGAGTTCTAGTCCCGCCTCGGCACAAAGCCAGCTGGGTGGCCATGGGCCAGTCACTTTCTTTCAGCCCTAGGAAGTAGGCAATGGTAAACTACTTCTGAAAAACCTTGCCAAGAAAAGTGTAGGAACTTGCCCAGGCAGTCTCTGGGAATCAGACACGATTGAATGGATTAAAAAGAAAAAAGATTTAGTGTGTTAACTTTAATTGGGGAGGGGGAGCCAGATAAATTTTGTGTATGCTTTCAAGTCTCTCTTGGACAAGTTAATGGAGTTTTCCTGACAACATTTTTAGAAGTGGTTTGCCGCTGTCTTCTTTCTAAGACTAAGAGAGAACAACTGGCTCAAAGTCACCCAGCTAGTTGGCTTTGTGCCCAAGGCCAGACTAGAATTCAGATTTCCCCACTTCTAGTTCAGTGCCTTAATGGCTAGATTAAACTGGCTTTCATATTAATTTTACTTGCTATAAAATTTCAAAATGAAATTTACTTTACTTTACTTCCCCAACCCTTTTTTAAAATTTTGTTATTGTAATACTGTATTTATTTGCAAATGGTTCGCACGCTAGACGAGCATACAATAATTTTGTGTTTCTTTCAGACTCACACAATAATGTATAAATCTGATTCTACACTTAATTCAGTTGCTAATTTCTTCTTGCAATATTATAATATTACATCTCTTGCACTCATATTACCAGTTAAGCTTATAAAAAACTGTTCCAGCTTACATACAAATTTGAGATAAGAATTTTTTTCCTTTTTATTATATTGTTGAAAATCTTAATACATTATATTATTTCAACACAATGATATTTGTACAGTATTAGTTGAAAATTATTGACATTTTGTTGAGATAATTTAGAATATTTCTCCTTTATTTCCAATACTCTATATTAATTACAATTAATTACAAGCATAACATTGTTTGACTTTTTTATCCAAAGTTCAGTATAACATTAGAAAAAAACTTCTGCAGATTGCATCAAAGTAATTTTTGTGTAATAAAGGTTTCAGTCTGATTATTTAATGTTGAAGTCTCCATTGTATAGTCACGTATACCATATATGTTAATAAAAGGGGAAAAAAGGTAAAACAAATTTAGCAAGAATTAAAATACCCAAAAATAATTAAAAAGGAAAAAGAACAATTGGGTTTCTAACTTTCCCCTTTTTGTACATGTGCTAAACTACAATATTGTTGAAATTTAAACAATAACTCTCTTAGAAGCCAGATTGTAAGTAATTATATTTAGACACGGTAGCTTTAAAGAATCACAGACAAGCACAGTGTTTTCTAAAACACCTCAGTGGAATGAAGAGCTTTAGAGAATTCATGTTTGAGTAGAAGAGGACAGTTCTGTTGTCAATATGAAAAATGTATATAATTTAACATATGTAAAAAATTGGGATGCAAATGATGGTTTACTATGTTGCAATGTTTTAATTGGTGTCACTACCAATTGACCCTGGGTGGGTCAAGATCAGGAAGGCTGTGTACAGAACTTTTGCTATAATACATTTGTAAAGTGCTTCAAATGTCTGTTGAAGAAACTGGCAGAGCAAGTTTTTCCTTTCACCGCTTCTCTGTGCTAGAAAGAAAATTGCTGATGGCATTTTCAACATCTCTTGCAGCTGTGAGAGGTGCAGAAATGTTTTTCAAGCAAGCATGGCAACTTATTTCTTCTTTTACCATTCAAGGTAATATTTAGCACATATATAGTTTATGTGCTAAGCTATACCACAAAACATGATTTATAAATCATATAGATGGTTGGCTCTAACATGCCAGCCCAAAACACCACATATCAATTTATAGATTAGAACGATGGAGGAACCACCTATTTGCTTGCTGGGGATGCAAACTACACATGATGTGTAATCATGGGCCACAGTGTGTCTTGTTTCATTTAATTTAGTGGGTTATGTAAATCCAGCTATTATAATTTGTAAATCAGGGCCTACTGTGTTGTGTAAATCCAGCCAATTGTAGCTTACTCAAACTACAGTTAAACACCTGGCTCAAAGAACTTGGGATAGTTTGTACAAAACAACAGTGTAGTTTCTTGACTGCAATATTCAACTAATTCATACTCAGTGATGTCATTAGACTTGTCTAGAAATTCTCCAGACAAAACAGTTTGATTATGGAGCTTCCAAGTAAATGTGAAGAAGATGTCTGAAGCCTGACATCTGAGAATTCCCAAGAACTTCTTGTTGTTTAGTCGTTAAGTCATGTCCGACTCTTCGTGACCCCATGAACCATATTGCACCAGGCCTTCCTGTCCTTCACT